GTATCCTACATAATATAGCCATTTCAAATTTTATATTCTTCTTTAATTTGTGCACTTTATTATTCCCAAAATATGTACAAAGCTGCTTTATTAGAAACAATAATATATATATATATATATATATATATATATATATATATATATATATATATATATATATATATATATATATATATATATATATATATATATATATATATATAATAATATTTTCTTTGCCTTTTAGCTGTGTATTTTTTCTAATTTCGAAAATCGAAAGTAGAGAAAAATAAAAAAAAAAAAAGAAAATTGTTTTGCTTGTCGTAAAGGGGGAACCAAGCTCCACTCCCACAACCGGTTTCTGGGCCTACCCTTCATCAGGTGGGCTGTCCAGGGCTGGTTCTCACCGATACGGCAAGCAAAACTTCTTCTATATCTACAGACGATGTCGTAAAGTGTCGGTGAGATATTAGTGCATCTCTCGTCAAAAGATGGTAAAGAGCGTTTTTCGGCCCGCTCAAATATATGAAATGAACAAAATTCTTACAGCTTTAGTGTATATTAATAAATAATATTTTCTTGCCTTTAGCTGTGTATTTTTTCTAATTTCGAAAAATCGAAAGTAGAGAAAAAATAAAAAAATAAATAAAAAGTAAAAAGAAAATTGTTTTGCTTGTCGTAAAGGGGGGAACCAAGCTCCACTCCCACAACCGGTTTCTGGGCCTACCCTTCATCAGGTGGGCTGTCCAGGGGCTGGTTCTCACCGATACGGCAAGCAAAACTTCTTCTATATCTACAGACTATGTCGTAAAGTGTCGGTGAGATATTAGTGCATCTCCCGTCAAAAGATGGTAAAGAGCGTTTTTCGGCCCGCTCAAATATAATGATGAAGGGTAGGCCTGATGAAGGGTAGGCCCAGAAACCGGTTGTGGGAGTGGAGCTTGGTTCCCCCCTTTACGACAAGCAAAACAATTTTCTTTTTACTTTTTATTTTTTTTTTATTTTTTCTCTACTTTCGATTTTTCGAAATTAGAAAAAATACACAGCTAAAGGCAAGAAAATATTATTTATTAATATACACTAAAGCTGTAAGAATTTTGTTCATTTCATATATTTGAGCGGGCCGAAAACGCTTCTTTACCATCTTTTGACGGGAGATGCACTAATATCTCACCGACACTTTACGACATCGTCTGTAGATATAGAAGAAAGTTTTGCTTGCCGTATCGGTGAGAACAAGCCCCTGGACAGCCTACCTGATGAAGGGTAGGCCCAGAAACCGGTTGTGGGAGTGGAGCTTGGTTCCCTTTACGACAAGCAAAACAATTTTCTTTTTACTTTTAGAAATTTTTTTTTATTTTCTCTACTTTCGATTTTTCGAAATTAGAAAAAACAAGCTAAAGGCAAGAAAATATTATTTATTAATATACACTAAAGCTGTAAGAATATATATATATATATATATTTCATATATATATATATATATATATATATATATATATATATATATATATATATATATATATATATATATATATATATATATATATATATATATATATATATATATATATATATATATCTGATCTAATCATAACTTAAGCAGTAACGCCTGCTTTTTACTGATATTCCCTTTTATTACAGTTCCTATTAACTGCCCAACAATAAAATGTTTTATTATGGTTCAAATATTCACTTAATTGTTTGCTCTGCAAACTACCCCAGTTCTGCATATATTCATCTTGTTTTATTAGCGATTCTCAGTTCTTTATTTACTTCCCTTAACTAAAATTTTGATCGTTGTTGCTTCAAAATAAGTTGTAGCCCTAACGGCTTAATTAGTGGATTAAGTAGGACTAGGCGTTTCCGTATTTTATATCATTTAATTACATCGAATAAGCGAAATGATTTTAATGGACTAATGTAACGCAGAGAGTGTGCTGGTTGGTTCTTACTTTAATATGCCTTGCTGCATCAGGAAATATGTTATTAATTAATTTAGTTTTAACTAATTTTAGTAGCGGGACAAATTTTACGAAATGCAAACTTTATTTTGGGTTTGATCTTATTCGAAGTTGGGGAATGCTGGGGCCAAACGATTTTCAGTTTAATTGATTTTGCTGTAAGTTAATTGGACCTTCCTCAATTTTCTCACCGTTTGTGGTGTACGATTCAATTTGTTTTAAATTGCCCTTAGGGAATGAATATGGGTATAGAAATTAGCAATAAAGAAAACAGACCTACTTTATTGTATGGTAACGTATTGTACCTGAAATTGCTTGTCTTAGGACTAGATTGGTTTTGTTTTGTTGACTAAAAATTGGCAATTTTATTTAAGTACATTATTGAACACATAAAATTGGTTATAAATTATAAATAAAGAAAGACACTGACTAAAATAACCGATATTTTACATTGAAAGTTTGAAAGAAAAAAATTGTCGCTTAAATTTTGAGAACCACTGGATCTTTTCTAGTTTTTCTCTCTTGTAAATTTAATCTACTACCTATGTTACCATATTATCAAAAAATTATAATTTTTAACAAGAACTAAAAAAATATTTTTTTTCGAATTTTTTTTTATGAAAATATTATGTTTTTTAACTAAAAATAAAAAAAATTCCAATAACATTTTCAAGAAATTCCAAATTTTCTAAAAAAAAATTTAAAATGTTGTAAAAATGTAAAAACCTCATAGACGTGTTTCTGGGGTTGAAATATACTACCCCTAAAAGTATTTGCTTTTGGTTTTTTTTCTGTCAATATAGTCGCAGTTTATTAATCTTTCGGTAATATTTGGGGATTAATTGGATAGTTGACAGTTCTTAAATGTCAACAGCTCAATTCAAGTAAAAAAATAGAAATGCAAACATATTAAGTTATCGTATTATATCGACGGTATTTGATGTTTAAAATACAGTATGCCGCCCTTGAACGACTTCTCTCTGCCAGGTTAAGTAATACCGCTGACAAATTAATTAAACGGCACAGATTAGGCGGAAATATCATACCGCCGAATGACTGGTATTTTTTATACAATAACTTATACCAGCGGTGGTTGTTTAGCCAGTGCGAAAAAGAAAACAGACTTACTATATTTTTTATCGTATTTTATTAGATGAAAGTGTCTCTGTCGCGGGATTAAATAAGACCTATCCTAGGAGTTTTAAAATTTTACTAAAATATACGATCGAACATCTGGATTCCTTTAAGCCCCAGTCGGAGTGGCTCACACTATTCGCATTTCCAAGTCGAAACTTTTAGATAAATTCCGTATTTAGTTGAAATTTGTCCGCATCGGTTTCTCCCACCATTCAACCTAAACTCTCTTTTCAGTAATTCTATTTCCTTTTAGGAAATTATCAGTTAGTCATGATTTCCCTTAACCAAATACTTTTTCTCTCACTCTTTGCAAACTTCTCTTCGGGTTAAATAATATTTTTCCAAACGAAATTCAAATATAATAAGGGACTGTTTTAAATTTGACTAAGCGTCAGAGTTCTGTAAGCAGGTAAAAATATTTGTTGTTTTATTGATAAAACAACAAACAAGGGGGACTTTTTGTGACTGAAAAGATAACTTTTTAATGTATAATACAGCTCCAAATATTTACGAAAATCACGTTTTTTTTAGAATAATATTAAAGGGTCTCGTTTAGAAAAAAAAATAATGGCTTGTTTCTGATAATTAATTATATATTTTCACAAAAGTTTTTCCTTTAATGTCCAATTAGCCTTATTTTAAAAAAATACAAAATTTAAATGTTTGAATAAAGCTGTTATCTCTTACGACAAAATATTACAGATTGGACGAAAATTTCAGGATTTATAGGAAATCCTCTGATTTTGTAGAAAAATTGATTTTTCAAACCTTTGTTTCTGAGTGAGTATTGCAGGTAGTTAAAAGTGTGTCTATATACAAATACTGCACATATATAGAATGGCCCCTATACAGGGCGTCCCAGAAATAAGTGCAAGTATTTTAAGGGGTGGTAGATCTCGATAAAAAACATACTTTCTCTTTATCGTTTTTCGTTATTATGATTTGAAAATTTCAAAAAAAAAATAATTTTTGCTAAAATTTTGAGGAAACCACTGGATCTTTTCTGGATTTTCTTTCTTGTAAATTTAATCTAATACCTATGTTTAAAAAAATTTCGAATTTTCACAATTTTTTTTTCGCGAAAAAACACTCATAGGCGTGTTTCTGGGGTTGAACTATACTACCAGTTAAAATACTTGCACTTATTTCTCGGACACCCTGTATAAGGTGATTGAAACAAAATCGGCGACTTTACCAAAATCGTCACTTTTCATGACTATATGTATGAAAAAAAGTTGTCCACTTTTGACTATATCTGTCTTGTGGATCTGCGCATGTATAACAACGTTTTTAATCATATAGCACGTCCGCGCGCGGATCATCCGTTGAAGCAAGGGCTTGACGGATGGCCGTCCGACAAAATCTTCCGGACGGATCATCCGCGTCCATTTGAAATTATTCATATAAGCTCATGGTACTTGTTTATTCAAAGGACGGTGCGGCCACACGTTTTGCTCCATGCGGAACAGCCTTCTCTAATCGGTCTGTTTTTTTTTGCTCCGTTCCATAAAGAAGTTAGTATGAGGCGAAAATGACCATATTTTTTAATTTTTGATTAAAAAAAATAAAAGAAACTCCAGAGATAACTTTGAAAAAGTTCCAGAAATAAAGTATTTAACAAGATAAAAATAGTGAAGCGTGTATCGCAAGGAAAGAAAAAAGGCCCGACTGATAAGAAAAGATCGGGATTTGCAAGTAAGCACGGACATTATCTAGCAGGCGAGTGGGTCGCGAATCCGTATCCGTTGTCCTGGTCCACCACAACAATTTGGACTCCGGAACGGCTGCTTAGCGCTTCCTGGAGCGCGTTAGGCGTAGGTCTTGGCTCGGGCGCACGCGCCGGCCGTATCTGTCCGGCCTTTCCAAAAAATTCTAATTCCACTTCTCCAAACATCCATCGAACGCCAGTGGCACTGCCAGCACAGCATCGCATCGCACTGTTAAGAGGGGCGATCTCGCCAATTCGCGGCTGCTTTTCATCCGAAGTGCGTGTGCGCCGATATAACGTTCCGCTCTTTCAAATAAATTCGCATCACCGGCAAACTGTTTTGCGACGCAAGATAGGCGCCGAAAGTGTTTTGCGAACTTGGTTTTGTGTTTTTTTCTAACTTTGACTGGTTCTAATTAGTTGTCTCCTCTCGTGTATGCCACAGTCGACTCGAGGGGTAAGTGCCGACTGGGTTTCCCTTATAATTAGTAGTTGCGGTTTTTTGCGAACACTGTAAAATTCATTGGCATCTGTACTATTCTTTTCCTTTGCACCGATGTCGACTCATCATCGCTAATTAAACTCGTTAGCTTTTTACAGTTAATTAACTTTATTTGAATTTTATTCTTTCTAATTAGTTTACTCCTTTTTTATTTCAAGAGATGTAATTTTAATTTTTTATTAAAATATATAAATTAAATTAATTTACTTGGAATAAAATAATATATTTTATTGTTATTAACTTAATTTGTAAGAAATATTTAATACAATAAAAATAATAATTTTTAAAATTTGTGCAAAAATTGAATTTTCTAGATATTAAGAAAATCTAAAAAATAATTTTTTAATATCTTTCATAATTTGTGATACACATTTCATTTTTATGCAATATAATTATAAATAATACATTATTTGATACTTTAAAATAGTATTCTATTTAGAAACTTAATTGTAATGTAGATAAAATAAATTTGTAAATAATGTTACCTTATATACTATAAATATTATTCAAGACGTTAAAATAAAAGTTTAAAATTTTATCTCTATAAATTAATAAGGTCGTTAAAGTTTATAATACTTGAAAAGTTCGTTGGTAATATTTTTAAAGTAAACTAATAAAAGGAACTGTAATTCGCGTAGTTTATAAAAATTATTATTAGATGCATAAAATATATTCTACATTTTTTTAAGAAAGAAAGTAAAAGTAGTATAGTTAGTTTTATTGAAAATAATAATATTAAAAGTTGTTCTTTATTATTAGTTATATAAGTATAAAAACAGTATCACGGTAGGCGTTGAAGTGACATGTCATTTTGAACTTACCTGTGACAGTGACAGCACATATTTGAATTTTTTGTGTCAACGTCAAATCCACAATATTACTAAATTTCTTGACTAAATGTTTTTGAGGGGTTTAAAACATTTTATATTGTATAATAAAATAATTATTTTAGTTTGAATGTTTAGCAGTAATTTTAAACGAAAAACTTCAGGGATCCACATAATATCTTAAAAAATAATAAACTATATCACTGTAAATATACGTATAAAAACACGTTGTACGATTTGTTAAAGTAATCCATAAGATCTTTCAGTTTCTATAAAAATATATTTTCAATGTTATGCTGTTGTTTCAAAGCAGTTGCTTTAATACATTTATATGCAGAAGATATTTTCGTTTCATAGTTTTCGGCATGTGTGCTATGCGAGGGACCTCAATTTCAGAATAAACCTATTTTTATTGAATTATAAAGAGGTAGGAAAGGGATACGTTTTACCACAGGCAACTTTTCGTATTACTCTATATATATATTCGACGTTTTCTTTTGTCTTTTTTACTTGACAAATGCAATTTGTTCTTTCGAAACTTTCTATATGGAGAAATTTGTAATCAAAAGACAAAACTATGTTTATTAGCAAAGTGAGCAAAGTTTACGTTTTTTGAAGATAGTTAATTTGATTTAAAGTCCATTTATATATTTGTTTTAAATATTAATACATAATTAGGTACACATTTTATCCGAAATTACTACTAACAATTTTTTTATTATACTTTCAAAACCAAGACAATTACTATAAACACGATTTTTGTTCGTTATTTAAAAACTTTATAACATCTTTTATATCGGATAACATCTTTTATACAGAGTTTTTCCAACAAAATTGTAACGTAAAAGAAAGTTAAATAAAAATAGTATAACCTATTGTACTTTTATATTCATATAAAACACACAGCATGAAGCAAAAATATCTATATAATTTTAAATCCACCAAAAAAATAGAAATATAAACACAAAGTATTTGTTAAACAGTTATTCAAAATTGTCTCTTGGAAAACACTCGTGGCAAAGTTGACAAAAGACAAATTAAAAGCAAACAACTCAGTTTTGTTTACTTATGTTTTAAGTAATCTGGCGAAATCATTGTTTTCTTTCTCTTTTGAAATTAGTATTTATCAATAAAAGTTTGTTTTTGCCCGAGCTGAATAAGGCACAATACAGAGCAACCCTAATCTGATTTCATAGTTTCTCAAGGATTTGGATTTAGTTGTAATTATTCGAAATACCGTATTCAATCCTCTAGTATTAGTCATTATTCTGCTTCCACCTTCAGTCTAAGCCTACCAAATGGATATAAACGGTTTCAGTTTATATGGGAATATTGTACAATGGTCATTTCTAAATTAATTTGTGCTATTTGAATAGTGCTTATCTAAGATTATTTCCGAGAACACATAAATAAACACATACAGTTACAGAATCTTAGCGAACAGCAATGTAATACAAGTAATATCTTAATAAGCAAAACTTTGAAGATCTACAATTAAGGACTACAATTCATATCCACTCTAAAATGTAGGTTTAGTATCTAACTGCCTAGTAAATATATTTATAAGACATAAACACAAAAAATTAGAGAAGAGAGTTTTGTTAATTATTTTTTCTAGCTCATAATTTGTAGTAATATGATACTCATATTGTAATAAATTATCTATATATGTAACAAAGCTTGTAGAACTATATTGACACGAAAATAATTTTATCTCTAAATATTCTCAAAAATTAGAAGAAAATTGACGCTTCATATTTCCCATGTGAGTTGCAATAGCACGACCATACGTGAAAACTGCATTAGAGATTTTGTATTTGAAAATTGGCAGGCAGGTTTTGCTTCTGGAAATAAAACCGCTTTTTTACACCACACTTAAACTTTTGCTCATATATTGGAGCAGTATTTTTCCTGCTAGGTCAGCAGTTATTGTTCCAATATAACACTTTTAACTCATTTTTGGACAAGTTGAATAGGTCACTTTGCTTGTTTAATAAATTTTCTCTTGTGAGCTTTACACAATCGGAGATTCTGGGTCAAATATTTTTTAATTGTCATACAAACGCTGCGTCATAGAATTGTCTTTTAAATTTATATTAAAAACTTATTTACCTTGCAGTAAGTGTTTTAATACTCCTAAAGGACTTTGGATAGTTGTTAAACACAAATCTCAAAGATTCTTCTAAGCAAAACGTTTAAACTTATATCCCCTTTGTAAATTAAGTTAAATGGTTAAGTTGTAATGGCTGTTCTAGACATTTAATTAACTATTGTTAGGTAACTTTTAAAGAGCTATTCAACCTTATTTATAAGTCATGTGGCATTAGAACTTTTTATGTAGGATTAAAACTTTCCAGAGTACCGCTGTAGCTACAGCTGTTTCTAGTTTTCAAATCAATTGTACAAACTAGCTAGTAGCGTACGTATGCCAATTATTCGTTCCTTTTTGATTGAAGATATTGATGGAGGAATTATAGAAAACGTTGTAGCGAGTATAGAATAGTTTTAAAATTAAATTAGTTATGTCTTTAAGTAGTTATTCGTTCTAGTTTTCTTGTTACTTCGGTAATATTGTAAAAACATATTCCTAAATACGTCTAATACTATAAAAGTCCTCCTAAAATAAATAGTTCAATATATGTAAGTTCATAAATTTGAAGTTTTGACTTTTATAGTTTACACCTTCAACTGAATACGAAGACATATAAAATTTTATAGCAAGATTTCATAAACTGCATAAGACATATTTCCTATTTCCTCGGGACACATAAAAGCTCCCTTTTTATTTCTCGCAGCAAAATTTTATTATTCTAGCAGAAACATCAATGATAATGCCGCTTTGTCGCTTTATTATTAGTCAATTAAGTCATGAATTAATAAAGCCACTTTAAGCCGACAAGAAGCACATTCTGTCGTAGCAAAACAAAGTTCTTGAGAAAGTGTATGATGCGGAGAGAATTCTCCCTCAAAAGCCAACATACACTGTGTTAAGGTAGAAGTTTAACACATCCAGCACGCGGGAAAACGAATTTTCATCAATATTATGTCTCAAGTTCGACACTGCGGTATTTTTATTATGTTTGCCTTGGGAATATTTAAAGTGCGGGGAACTAGCTATAAAGCACGTTTAACAGTGGATATTTAACTCTATATTTTACGAAAATCGCAAGCAAAATGGTTCTTCTTTCATATTTTATATTGTAACAGGAATTTTTGCCAAACGGCTCCAGGCTTTTAAGCTTTATACGTTATATTAGGCCGATATATCAATATATACAAACATATCAATTTTTTATACAAAATTTATAGGCTATTACAAACACGATAAACAAAATAAGAATATAATTTGAAAGTACATTATCTCCCATATTCATCATCATCATCTTAGTCAATCATATCCAATTAAGGTGTAGCATCCATTGTTGTCTCTATGCAGACTTAAGTTATCCCTGCTAAACCAACATCATATTTCAGGTTTGGTCTTCTTCTAGATCTCTTAATTCCTCGTTGGTAACATGCTGTATTTTTTTGTGGTCTATCTGTTGTCCATCCTTCTTGTCAGCCGTCTTGCCCATTTCTACTTGAGGGATTTGATTCTGTGGATGACATCTATACCCTGGGTCTTTTGTCATCACTCTATTTTTACGGTCTTTCTTGGTTATACCCAGCATATTTCGTCCCATCGAGAGTAGGTATTGATGCATAGGTAATGTGAATATAATAACTGGTAGTACACATTTGTCGAATATTTTCTTTTTAGGATAAAGTGGCATTTTAGATTTTAATATGACTGAGTTTCTTCCATATTTACTTCATGTTAACTTAATTCTCCTGTATTTATTATCTCCCATATTAATAAAATATATAATTTTTATTAATAATAAAAAGATTTTATTAACATTAATGTTTTAAAGCCCATAAATTCCTTTTAATTCTCATTCATGCTCTAACCTAACCAATAATACAGACCTCTACCTCTGGCGCAATATTTTATGAAATCGGTTATCTGCCGTCTTTATCTAACTGTTCGAGATAAAGGCGACAAAATCGGATCTTCTTAATTGGCTCACGGTTTTCCAAAACCTCTCACGCTTAATTTCCGGTTTATATTAAACCGCTGTTAACTGC